CTCAAAAAAAAAAAAATAATAATTAAAAGGAATTCTTGAGTATTTCTTTTGCCCTGTGGTTGCCATGAACCAAGAAAGTTTGGGAACCTCTGTCATGTGACCTTTGACCAGTCATTTCACTCTGGGTCCAACTTCCCATGTCTATAAATGATATGGGTAGAAAAGAGGATCTCTTTGGGGTCCTTTTCTGCTGTGTGTGCATTTATGTAAAATGTCAGACTCAGCTTTGCACCCACTGCAGGCTTCCACCCCCATCTAAGGCCAACTCCGCTTGTCTTTCCTATCCCACCATGCCTCTCAGATCAAGAGCTCCTGTCTCTACCTGTACTTGTGCCAGTATTCTCCACTTGGCTCACTGTTACACATCCTCTGTGAAGCCCTTCTTTACCATGCAACACACAGTAAACACTTGCCTCTGCTGTTTAAAGTGTGTGTGTGGTTGTGTGTGTGTGCGTGTGTGTGTCCATCATTCCCTGTGTAGGTGAGCTTTTAGAAGAGAGGAACTGTAAGTCGTTGAGTGCCGGCTGTGCGGCAGGCTGTGCAAGGGAAGGGACCATGTCTTTGTCTCTTAAATGATAAGATTTAATGCGTACCTACCCACTTTCTAAGCAAGCAGACTGGGGAGTTCCTTCTCTGCCAGAGGAGGTCCCAGCACCTTGGGCATTTAGAGCTTGCTTCTGCTTCTCTAACGGGGCTCTCCTGCAGCACTGTAACGGCGTTGACTGGCGTCAGAAGCTGGACTCTCAGCGAGGGGCCGTCATTGCCACAGAGCTGAAGAACAACAGCTACAAGTTGGCCCGGTGGACCTGCTGTGCTTTGCTGGCTGGATCTGAATACCTCAAGCTTGGGTGAGGGTCCTGTGCAGGAGCTGGCAGCTGATCTTGTGAAAGGAAGGGTCTGGGTAGGGAGGTTGGCCCTCCCCTCCCCGTGTACTGGACAATTGACTGGCAGAGATAAATCCGGGAATGGGGTAGAGATGGAGGGATCAGTCAGGACACAGATACCAAACAGCAGGCTTGCTGAATGGAGTCCTGAACTAGGGCAATGATGTCAGTGAAATCCAGAACTGAACACTCAGAAGACGGAGTTTTCCCTTTCCCTTGAAAATAGCAGTGGACCAGGTATCACCATTTAATTGACATTTGATGCCAAGTGTTGCTGTCTCTGTGCCACCTGCTCTGACCACTGATATCCCTTCCTCTGTTAGTTATGTGTCTCGGTACCACGTGAAAGACTCCTCACGCCACGTCATCCTGGGCACCCAGCAGTTCAAGCCTAATGAGTTTGCCAGCCAGATCAACCTGAGCGTGGAGAATGCCTGGGGCATTCTACGCTGCGTCATTGACATCTGCATGAAACTGGAGGAGGGCAAATACCTCATCCTCAAGGACCCCAACAAGCAGGTCATCCGTGTCTACAGCCTCCCTGATGGCACCTTCAGCTCTGATGAAGACGAGGAGGAAGAGGAGGAGGAAGAAGAGGAAGAAGAAGGTGTGTAGCAACCCACTTTCTGAGGTCTAGAGTGCTCTGTGGGCTAGCACGGGAGCAAGTTCTATAGTCATTGTGATCTTTAACCTTGATAAAACTTTGAGAATTCCGAGACTTAAGTATCAAGCACAATTCACTTTGCCTCCAAGAGCTTCTTCCAGAGCCTTTAGATCACATCAAGTGGTTGGGGAGGATAGCGGTGTTTTAGAGAAGTGGCTGGACTGGCAGAGGTAGAGAAAGATGAGGGAAGTCCCGGATGGAAGCCCATGGTCTAGAGGGAAAAGCTCCGCTCTGGGTTAAATAGCTTGAAAGTTGTCTCTCCAGCTCCACCAGCTGGTGACTGAAGGAAATACCTGCCCGGCCCTGTGAGGATCTAAAAGGCTTCACTTCTGAATGGAAGTGTTGAAAACTCACACGCAGTCCAGCAGAGGTTCAGAAAGGAAAGTGAACGCCATATCACACAACCTGGCTTATTTCTCTTACATTTTTTGTGTCTTTCAGAGGAAGAAACTTAAACCAGTGATGTGGAGCTGGAGTTTATCCTTCCACTGAGACTATGAGGGCCTTTGACGCTTAGTGGAATGTGTATCTAACTTGCTCTCTGATGTTTAGCAGATAAAATAAAATATACGTCTGTTTAGTCTCTCCTTCATCATCTATCTGCATTAACGATTTACAGTCCTTTCTTCAAAAATTCCTGGCAGAGTGGGGATGAGATTCAGCAATTTCTATGTGGAATTCAGAATGTGGGTGTCATCATTTGTTGTAAGAAGTTCATTTCCACAAGCTTGAGTGCCTGCTGGCTGTGTGAAGAGCCAAGTGTTGCTTTTGGAGAGTTCACTGGGAGGGGCTGGAGTGCAGAGCGCGAGTACAGCGCAGAGCAGGGCGTGGATGAGATGGCGCTGCTGCGCATGAGGGAGGCTGCCACGGAGAGCTTGATGGATGTCCCGCTGGCTGATTGTGTAATGGTTTGTGAATTGTTGTTAAGCTTGGCCTGGGCTGGTGACAGTCTCAGGCCTGTCCCTACAAAGCGATGTGTCATAAGAGCTCTGGATGTTTAGGATATGTAAATTTTTTTTTTTTTTTTTTTTTTTTGAGACAGAGTCTCACTTTGTCGCCCTGGCTGGAGTGCAGTAGCACAATCTCAGCTCACTGCAACTTCTGCCTCCCAGGTTGAAACGATCCTCCTGCCTCAGCCCCCCTAGTAGCTGGGATTACAGGCATGCACCACCATGCCTGGCTAATTTTTGTATTTTTAGTAGAGACGGGGTTTCGCCATCCTGGCCAGGCTGGTCTTGAACTCCTGACCTCAGGTGATCCACCCGCCTCAGCCTCCCAAAGTGCTGGGATTACAGGCGTGAGCCACCGCACCCAGCCGAGGGTATGTAAACTTCTGTATAAGTGGACGTTGTTCTGTTCTGGACACTTTAATTACCCTGCCAGGTGTTAATGCTGAGCTTTCTGTAGTATCTAAGCCTCATACAGAAGTGTGATGCTGGCAGGAGTAGTACCATTGTGAGGTGAGGAAACAGGCATGGTGGCTCAAACCTCTAATCCCAATACTTTGGGAGGCCAAGGCAGAAGGATCAATTTAGCCTAGGAGTTTGAGACAAGCCTGGGTACAGGGAGACCAGGGCCTGTCTCCATAAAAAAAAAATAAACTATTAACCAGTCATGGTGCTTCCACCTGTGGTCCCAGCTACTCAGGAGGCTGAGGTGGGAGGAGTGCTTGAGCCCAGGAGTTCAAGGCTGCAGTGAGCTATGATCACACCACTGCACTCCAGCCTAAGTGACAGAAGGAGACCCTTTATCAAAAAAAAAAAAAAAAAAAGCCAGGTGCAGTGGCTCATGCCTATGATCCCAGCACTTTGGCACTTCGGGAGGCTGAGGTGGGTGGATCACTTGAGGTCAGGGGTTCGCGACCAGCCTGAACAACATAGCAAAACCCCGTCTCTACTAAAAATACCAAAATTAGCCAGGCATGGTGGCACTTGTAATCCTAGCACTTTGGGAGGCTGAAGCAGGATCGAGTGAGCCTGGGAGGTTAGGGCTGCAGTGAGCCATGATTGTGTCACTGCACTCCAGCCTGGGTTACAGTAAGATTCTGTCTCAAAAATAAATAAGATGTCCCTATTTTATTTTTGGCAAAGTATTTTGCCTAACCTCTCTGGCTCCAGTGCTTATTCAACAAATGCCTGAACTTCCGTATGTCAGATACTGGACAATTTCTGCTCTGAGGAAGCTTTTCTCTGATCTTGACACAGACTGAAGAAAGTAAATGACATTCGGCCGGACGCGGTGGCTCACGTCTGTAATCCCAGCACTTTGGGAGGCCGAGGTGGGTGGATCACGAGGTCAGGAGATCGAGACCATCCTGGCTAACAAGGTGAAACCCCGTCTCTACTAAAAATATAAAAAATTAGCCAGGCGTGGCGGTGGTCACCTGTAGACCCAGCTACTCGGGAGGCTGAGGCAGGAGAATGGCGTGAACCTGGGAGGCGGAGCTTGCAGTGAGCCAAGATCACGCCACTGCACTCCAGCCTGGGCGACAGAGTGAGACTCCGTCTCAAAGAAAAAAAAAAGTAAATGACATTCTTTGGTAGGTACTTGTAGGCCTGAGAGGTCAGGGAAGTTTTTCTAAGGAGTCCCCAGCTACGACGTTTAATTAAAAGAATCTTGGCCGGGCGCGGTAGCTCACGCCTGTAATCCCAGCACTTTGAGAGGCCGAGACGGGCGGATCACGAGGTCAGGAGATCAAGACCATCCTGGCTAACACGGTGAAACCCCGTCTCTATTAAAAAAAAAAAAAATACAAAAAAACTAGCCGGGTGTAGTGGCGGGCGCCTGTAAGTCCCAGCTACTCGGGAGGCTGAGGCAGGAGAATGGCGTGAACCCGGGAGGCGGAGCTTGCAGTGAGCTGAGATCACGCCACTGCAGTCCAGCCTGGGCGACTGAGCGAGACTCCGTCTCAAAAAAAGAAAAAAAAAAAAAAAAGAATCTCCAGCCATGCAAAGCTGCAAGCTCGCAGTTCTTTCCACCTGCCCTTACCACAAGAACACTCAACCCCATTTCACTGGACTTTGAAGGTTCCTACGCTGACCTCGTATTTCTTCCCATGTAAATCTCATGCAGGGGCCACATGCCACCCCTGGGAAGCCAACCTTGATCATCCAGTTCACGTTATCTCCCTCCTGCCATTTATCTTGCCTCCACTGAGTTTTAATTCCAGGCTCCACTTCCTGTGATTGCAAACATATCCCTTCATCCCTATGTCTCCATTTGACCAGTCAGCTACCAAACGTCGGAAACAATGCCTTGCCCGCCTCTCCTGTTTGGTGGAAGATCAAGGACAGTCGTGTATGTTACTTGGTAAGCAGTACACTGAGTCACTGTAGCAAACGCTTGTTAATTGGCTTATCCGTCCTGGCTCCACCACGCTGGTTTCCAGTCCCACAAAACTGGGTAGGCCAACTAGTTTTAGTGTTAGGCTACATTCATGGAATATGAGAGGTAGGATTAGCTCCAAATATCACGTGCTCTCCTCCCTCCGTGTAGAGAGGCACATTTTAAAAAGAAGGGGCCAGTTCCCCACCCCGGATCTCCAGACCTTCCACCCTAGCCGGTGCGCGCCAGCCCCAGACCCCTCTGCCAGACCCCGGAGCAGCGCACGCAACATGTGCGCGCCAAGCCCGCGCGCCGAGCCCAGAGCAGGCAGCCAGCCAACTTGTCCCGGCGTGCAGCGCGCCGCGCACGTGACCCCGCCCCCTGCCATTGGTCCGGGCGCGAGGGGCGGGGCCGTCGCGGAGCGAGCAAGCCAAGCGCGGCCTCATTAGACCACGGGCTGCAGTCGGAGCGGCTGGGAGGATCGTGCGCTTCTCGGGGGTCGGTCGGAGGCGGGGAGGCCGGAGCTGCGGGCGTGGGGACCTGGCGGCTCCTGAAGCGCAAGCTGGCGGGCAGCAGGTGTGCGGGGCATCCCTGTCACGTGGCCGAACAGCCTGGGGCGCGCGGAGCCTGGCAGGGGGCGGGGCGCACGCAGGCCACACCCCCTTCAGACTCCTGCCCGGGCATTGGAGAGGGGCCAAGGCGAAGTGCACCTCTGGAAGGTCCAACCTGAAGGGTGGTTTAAAGGAGTGTTGGGCACCCTCAAATTAGGGGAAAACTGGGGAGCACCCTCTCCTTCCCCAGGGCGGAGGTTACTACAATTATAAGCAGGGAGCCGGTGCCCCTAAGGAAGGAGATCGTGAATGAGATTAAGATGGAGGAGCTTGGGATTCCGGGGAGCCCCAGGTCCCAGCTTGAAACGGTAGAGTCTGGGCAAATGAGCTCGTGTGAAGACCGTGGCTTCTGGGCCTGGCCCTGACCCAGATTGCAGTGAGAGTTCCCGCAGGTCTCTTTCTGGGCCTCGTGTCTCCCGGCCGCCCGGCCGGGTGCGAGGCCTTACCCCTCTGGTCTGCTGCAGGATGGGCCTCTCCGCTGCGGCCCCGCTGTGGGGCCCCCCGGGGCTGCTCCTGGCCATCGCCCTGCACCCAGCGCTGTCGGTACCCCCGCGCCGGGACTACTGCGTGCTGGGCGCTGGGCCCGCGGGCCTGCAGATGGCCTACTTCCTGCAGCGCGCTGGACGCGACTATGAAGTGTTCGAGCGCGCCCCGCGGCCCGGCAGCTTCTTCACGCGCTACCCGCGGCACCGCAAGCTCATCAGCATCAACAAGCGGTACACTGGCAAGGCTAACGCCGAGTTCAACCTCCGCCACGACTGGAACTCTCTGCTCAGCCACGACCGCCGGCTGCTCTTCAGACACTACTCACGTGCCTACTTCCCCGACGCCCGCGACATGGTGCACTACCTGGGTGACTTCGCGGACACACTGGGGCTCCGTGTCCAGTATAACACCACCATCGCCCACGTCACTCTGGACAAGGACCGACGGGCCTGGAATGGCCACTACTTCATCCTAACCGACCAGAAGGGCCAGGTGCACCAGTGCAGGTAAGGCCTGTGCCTGAGCTCACCTGCAGAAGCTGGGACCTTCCCCACAGGAACCACACACCTTGATTGGCCAGTAGGTGTGGGAGGAATGGAAGAAAATGGGTATTTCGCTTTTTTTTTTTTTTTTTTTTTGAGACGGAGTCTCACTCTGTCCCCGAGGCTGGAGTGCAGTGGCAGGAGCTCAGCTCACTGCAATCTCCGCCTCCCTGGTTCAAGCAATTCTCCTGCCTCAGCCTCCGCAATAGCTGGGACTACAGGCACGCACCACCACAACTGGCTAATTTTTTATATTTTTGGTGGAGATGAAGTTTCACAATGTTGGCCAGGCTGGTCCTGAACTCCTGACCTCAGGAGATCCACCCACCTCAGCCTCCTCAAATGCTAGGATTACAGGTATGAGCCACCGCACCCAGCCTTCGATTCTATTTTTGAAACCACCCTGTGATCAAAGCATTCTTCTGCAGGTCGGCAGGATCTAAGTCCCCACCTGCCCTCCCCTGGATGGCGATCCTTACCAATGGAAGGAGCAGGACTTTGAAATCAGGCCTCTATGTGTTTAGACTCTGGCTCTGCTGCCTTTACAAGCTTTTAGGCCACGGACCTGAAGAGCCTGTGCCTCCTCCCCTGTAAAGCAGGCCATGTTCCACCTCCAGGTTGCTTGGAGGAGTCAGTAAGATGGTGCACAGATACACTTAGCACAGGGCCTGGTACAGAATTACTGCTCAGTAGATAGATGCATCCGTCAGAGAACTCAGAAAGGGGAAAGTAGAACATCAGGTTTCCTTTCATCACCAAGGGTGATACCTGGTCTAACTGTTGTGTGCAAACTTAGGTGAATTCTCCATTTCTCATAATGTCATCTTCTCCTCTCTCACAGAGCAAAATTAACCCCCAGTACAGTGCTAGGGAAAATACTGTGAGCTCAGGGAGAGGCAAGGGCAGAGCCTCTCAAGTGCACTGGAGTGAGGGCGTAAACGAATGAATTAACAAATGAATGAATGAATGTCCTATTTTCTTTTAGCGGCCAGTGGTTAGAGTGAGGCAGGTGGGTGCGTGGGTCCAGGGAGTGGTTTTCACTTAGTGATCTTATAGCTAAGAGACTAAGCCATCTTTCCTTTGTCCCTGCCTGCAGCGTCCTCCTTGTAGCCACTGGCTTATCAGTCCCCAACCAGGTTGACTTCCCTGGCTCCGAAAACGTGGAGGGTTACGAGTCTGTGTCCATAGACCCTGAGGACTTTATAGGCCAGAATGTGCTGATCCTGGGCCGTGGGAACTCAGCCTTTGAGACAGCAGAGAACATCTTGGGTGTCACAAACTTTATCCACATGCTCAGCCGCTCCCGGGTCCGTCTGTCCTGGGCCACCCACTACGTTGGAGACCTCAGGTAGGCCACATCCCTGCGTGTGTGTTCTGTGCTGGGAGTCCAGAGTGTGAAAAGAGCCTCCCCAACCCTCCCCTGCCCTTCCTGACCCCAGCTGCACTGCCCAGCTTTCCTCTGAGCCTCTCTCCCTGCATTCTCTGTGAGCCCAGAGCCATCAACAATGGCCTGCTGGATACCTACCAGCTGAAGTCCCTGGATGGGCTGCTCGAGTCTGACCTGAGGGATCTGGCCATCCTGAAGGATAGCAAAGGCAAGTTCCATGTCACCCTGAAATTCTTCCTGGAAGAAGCCAGCACCAACCAGAGTGCCGACACCATCACCCTCCCCCAGGATGACAATGACAACTTTGCCATGCGCGTGCCCTATGACCGAGTCATCCGCTGCCTGGGCTGGAACTTTGACTTCTCCATTTTCAATAAGTGAGTTCCATGCGGGAGGAGGTGGGCTCTCCTAGCGAACCCTCCTGACCCGTCCCTAGGGGAACAGAGTGGCTGTTCAGTAGGCTGGCGACAGAGCTCCCAGGACAGCACCCTAAGAATGGATGTGAGTGCTGCCTGGTTTCCCTCCAGGACATGAGCTCTCTGACCGTTGAGGGTCCCAGGTGGCCCTGAGGCCCTTGGTCCTGGAGCAGTACCAGCAGATCTTCATCGGCATTGGGAGCCTCCACCTGTGAGATGGAAAGGCCGGCTCAGAGAGAATACAGAAGGGAATTTGCTGGAAGGCAGTGTAGCGTAGTGGCTGAGAGCACAGGTGCGGGAATTGTCTTGAGATTCTCAGTTTGCCAAATCTGTGACCTCGTTGAAAGTTATTTAACCAGGCTGTGGCCCAGTATCTTCATCTCTAAAATGGGATTCAAAGTTTCTTTCTCATATGGTTATTGCGAGGATTAACATAAGAATGTGCGTGGAGGCTGGGTGCGGTGGCTCACACCTATAATCCCAGCACTTAGGGAGGCCAAGACAGGCAGATCACTTGAGGTTAGGAGTTCGAGACCAGCCTGGCCAACATGGTGAAACCCCGTCCGTACTAAAAATATAAAAAAATTAACCAAGCGTGGTGGTGGGTGCCTGTAATCCCAGCTACTTGGGAGGCTGAGGTGGGAGAATCGCTGGAACCCGGGAAGTGGAAGTTGCAGTGAGCCAAGATCACGTCACTGCACTCCAGCCTGGGCAACAGAGTGAGACTCCGTCTCAAAATAAGACGAATGTGCGCAGATGCCAGGCACGGTGGCTCATGGTCTCACACCTGTAATCCCAGCAGTTTGGGAGGCCAAGGCGGGCATATTACTTCAGTTCAGGAGTTCAAGACTCGCCTGGGCAACATGGTGAAACCCCATCTCTACAAAAAATACAAAAATTAGCCAAGTATGTTGACACATGCCTGTGGTCCCAGCTACTCAGGAGGCTGAGGTGGGAGGACTGCTTGAGCCCAGGAGGTCGAGGCTGTGGTGAGCTAAGATCATGCCTCTGCATTCCAGCCTGGGCAACAGAGTGAGACCCTGTCTCAAACAAAAAAAGAGATGGCCGGGCACAGTGGCTCACACCTGTATTCCCAGCACTTTGGGAGGCCAAGGTGGGCAGATCATGAGGTCAGGAGTCCAAGACCAGCCTGACCAACATAGTGAAACCCCGTCTCTACCAAAAATACAAAAAATTAGCCGGGCATGGTGGCACGTGCCTGTAATCCCAGCTACTCAGGAGGCTGAGGCAGGAGAATCGCCTGAACCTTGGAGGCAGAGGTTGCAGTGAGCCAAGATCGCGCCATTGTGCGCTCCAGCCCAGGTGACGGTGTGAGATCTCTGTCTCAAAAAAAAAAAAAAAAAAAAAAAACCAGAGAGGAGAGAAAGAAGGAGAGGGGGGAGAGAGAAAGAAAGGAAAGAAAGTGCTGGGAGCTAGGTGCAGTGATGAGTACCTAGCTACTCAGGAGGCTGAGGCAGGAGGATCACTGGAGCCCAGGAGGTCAAGGCTGCAGTGTGCTATGATCATGCCTGTGAATGGCAGCTGCACTCCAACCTGGGCAACATAATGAGACATAAGAGATAGGGATCTCTTAAAATAAATCAGAGAAAGTACTTGGCATATATCATGTGCTCAATAAAATGTTTGTTGCTAAAGTTATTTATCATTGTATCTTGAAGGGCTGTTTTATGAAGTCTAGACTTTAAACATTGCTGCCAACTACCTCGGGAGGTTTGGTATCAAAGCAGCATCCAGTCTTTCATTTGCCTTCTGACCAGGGTGCAGAAAGACAAAGGAGAAGCTGTTGTGCCTGTCCAGACCCTCCTTTCCATCGGCCTCCCAGAATGCTAGGATTACAGACGTGAGCCACTGCACCTGGCCTGACTTCGTTATTTTTTTTGTTTTTTTGCTTTTTCGTTTTTTTTTTTTTTTTGAGACAGTCTCACTCTGTCGCCCAGGCTGGAGTGCAATGGCATAATCTTGGCTCACTGCAACCTCTGCCTCCCAGGTTCAAGTGATTCTCCCGCCTCAGCCTCCCAAGTAGCTGGGATTACAGCCATGCACCGCCACCCCCAGCTAACTCTTTGTGTATTTTTTCATAAAGGTGGGGTTTCACCCTGTTGGCCAGGCTGGTCTCGAACTCCTGACCTTGTGATCTACCCACCTCGGCCTCCCAAAGTGCTGGGATTACAGGAGTGAGCCACCTCGCCCGGCCGACTTCATCTCTTAAGTGGAGATGATAATACCCATCTGCTAGGGTCATGGTGAGGTTTAAATGAGACAAGAAAAGTAAGGCACTCAGTGCCAGTAATAAGTGCCACTGTAATAAGTGCCTCCTGGCTGGGTGCAGTGGCTCACACCTATCATCCCAGCACTTTGGGAAGCCAAGGCAGACGGATCACATAAGGTCAGCATATCGAGACCAGCCTGGCTAATGTGGTGAAACCTTGTCTCTACTAAAAATACAAAAATTAGCTGGGCACGGTGGCAGGAGCCTATAATCCCAGCTATTCAGGAGGCTGAGGCAGGAGAATAGTTTGAACCCAGGAGGCAGAGGTTGCAGTGAGCCGAGATCGTGCCATTGTACTCCAGCCTGGGCGACAAGCGAAACTCCATCTCAAGCTAATTAAATAAGTGCCTCCCACATAGCAGCTATTTTCATCAACAGCCCTTTCCGCTGACAGGTCCCTCCGACTTAACTCGGGAAATGCATTCGGCAAGAAGTACCCGCTAATTCGAGCTAGCTACGAATCCAAAGGAAGCCGGGGTCTGTTTATCCTGGGTACCGCCAGCCACTCAGTGGACTACCGGAAATCTGCTGGGGGCTTCATCCACGGATTCCGATATACAGGTGAGCCCAGCTGAGAAGGCAGAACTGTCCCCAGGCAGAACCACTCTCAGCATCCCAGGGCTTATAAATCTACTCCTATGTCCAGAAGCATTAGGGGATTGCTTGTCAGTAGCACATTGTCATAAATCGTCTTGGGGAAGTGACAGCGGGTTTTTGTGGTCTGAAGACATGTCTAGGGAAGTATCAGATAAAGTGTAAAAGTCCACGGCTGTAATCCTAGCTACTTGGGAGGCTGAGGCAGGAGGATCCCTTGAGTCCAGGAGTCAAGGTTGCAGTGAGCCGTGATGATGCCACTGCACTCCAGCCTGGGCGACAGAGCAAGACCCGGTCTCAAAAAATAAAATAAAACCCAGCGTAAGCCGGGTGTGGTGGCTCACGCCTATAATCTTAGCACTTTGGGAGGCCGAGGCAGGTGGATTGTTTCAGGCCAGGAGTTCAAGACCAGCCTGGGCAACATGGCGAAACCCTGTCTCTACTAAGAATACAAAAATTAGCCAGGTGTGGTGATGTATGCCTATAGTCCCAGCTACTCAGGAGGCTGGGGCATGAGAATTGCTTGAACCCGGGAGGTCGAGGTTGCAGTGAGCCAAGATCACACCACTGCACACCAGCCGGGGCGACAGAGTCAGACCCTGTCTCAAAAACAATTAAAATAAAGCATAAAAGTAGATACATGTGGAAGTGCTATGTTATGTGCATAAGCCCCAGACAGGTTAAGTATCATGTTGGCAGGAACGCTGAGCTTGAAGAATGTGAACCTGGTTCCCAGCTGGGTGGTCCTAGAGGTGAAGCTTCCAAGCCCCTGATGGACATCCTAACATCACAGATGGAAATGAGGTGAACTCTCCACCATCGTGGGTCCATTGTGAGGGCTAAATAAGGCAATACCTGGCCACCAAGCAGCTATGAAGCTCCATGCCTATATAGACAATTTGGGTACTGACACATTTCAATAAAAATTGCAATCTGGGCCAGACGCAGTGGCTAACACCTGTAATCCCAGCACTTTGGGAAGCTGAGGCAGATAGATCACCTGAGGTTGGGCGTTCGAAACCAACCTGATCAACATGGAGAAATTCTGTCTGTACTAAAAATACAAAATTAGCCGAGTGTGGTGGCGTATGCCTGTAATACCAGCTACTCGGGAGGCTGAGGCAGGAGAATCGCTTGAACCCCGGAGGCGGAGGTTACAGTGAGCTGAGATCACACCATTGCATTCTAGCCTGGGCAACAAGAGCAAAACTCCGTCTCAAAAAAATTTTCTGCTAACTTGAGAATGTTTACAAAGAAAATACTAAAATATATTTTAAAAACATAATTGCACTAAAATAATCCCCAACCAAAAATTGATATTTGTGATTTTAGGAATAAATGGGAAATAAAAAGGAAGTGAGAGAAATGAATTCACACGTGTTGGGTGACTTCAGTGGGCTGAGCACTGAACACACGACCCTGGCAGGGCCGCCAACACCCTGAAAGGTGGGTGTGAAATCTCCATTTTCCTCAGAGTGTGAAGCTCTGAGGCTCAGAGTTTTCGCGATTTTCTCACCATCATGAGAATTAAACTCCCAAGGCCCAGGCGCTTTCTTGAAAGACACTTTCTACAAAGGTGTTCTCTTCTTTCATAGAAAGCAAACCGGTGCCCTCTCTATGGCGAGCAGTCTAAAATGTTAGATGTGGCCAGGCATGGTGGGTCACGTCTGTCATCCCAGCACTTTGGTAGACTGAGGTGGGCGGATCACCTGAGGGCAGGAGTTTGCGACCAGCCTGGCCAATATGGTGAAATCCTATCTCTAATTAAAGTACAAAATTAGCCAGGCGTGGTGGCGGCCACCTATAATCCCAACTGCTCGGGAGGCTGAGGCAGGAGAATCACTTGAACCTTGGAGGTGGAGGTTGCAGCGAGCCAAGCCCACACCATTGCACTCTGGCCTGGGCAAAAAGTGAAACTCCGTCTCAAAAATGAATAAATAAATAAAAATTAGATATTCCCTTTCCTGTGGTTAACCTTCTGAGAAGGACAGGGTATTGGTTGAAATTCACTCAGTGAGGCATACAATATTCAGTTAGGTGAGTCTATTTGAAAGAATGGAGTCAAAATCTTACAGCTGAGCTTTAAAAAATTAGTAGTACTAGTAGTTTTTGAGACAGTGTCTTGTCCTGTTTCCCAGGCTGACGTACAGTGGCGTCGTCTCAACTCACTGCAGCCTCGACTTCCCAGACTCAGGCCGTCCTCCCACCTCAATCTTCTGAGTGGCTGGAACTTCAGGCACGCACCACCACACCCAGCTAATTTTGTTGTTTTTATTTTTGTGTGGTAGGGACAAGGTTTCGCCATGTTGCCCAGGCTGATCTCAAACTCCGAAGCTCAAGCGATCCACCTACCTCCGCCTCCCAGAGTGTTGGGATTACAGGCATGAGCCACCACGCCTAGCCTGAGCATCAAAAATGTGAAAATATAGGGAACTAGGCCGGGCGCGGTGGCTCAAGCCTGTAATCCTAGCACTTTGGGAGGCCGAGACGGGCGGATCACGAGGTCAGGAGATCGAGACCATCCTGGCTAACATGGTGAAACCCCGTCTCTACTAAAAAATACAAAAAACTAGCCGGGCGCGGTGGTGGGTGCCTGTAGTCCCAGCTACTCGGGAGGCTGAGGCAGGAGAATGGCGTGAACCCGGGAGGCGGAGCTTGCAGTGAGCTGAGATCGGCCACTGCACTCCAGCCTGGGCGACAGAGCGAGACTCCGTCTCAAAAAAAAAATATATATATATAGGGAACTAGAGGGAGTAATCTTTTATTCTGCCACTCAAAGACATTCTATGTTTATATTTCTTTTTTCTTTTTAAAGACAGTAAGGCAGGCCAGATGTGGTGGCTCATGCCTATAATCCCAGCATTTTGGGGGGCCGAGGCCAGCAGATCAGCTTAGGTCAGGAGTTTGAGACCAGCCTGACCAACATGGTGAAACCCATCTCTACTAAAAATACAAAAATTAACCAGGCTTGGTGGCACACACCTGTAATCCCTACTACTTGGGAGGCTGAGGCAGGAGAATCACTTCAATCCAGGAAGCGGAGGTTGCAGTGAACCAAGATCGCACCACTGTGCTCCAGCCTGGGTGACAGATTGAGACTCTGTCTCAAAAATATAATAAAAATGAAGACAGTAAGGTGGACTTTATTCCAGGTTAGAACACTATAATAATAGGTGTAGGACCACTGCAGAAGGGTCTTACAGTACGGGCAAAGGATTGGACTCAATTCTGGGAGTCAGTTCCTCCTGGAATCCGGGAGGCAGAGGTTGCAGTAAGCTGAGATCGCGCCACTGCACTCCAGCCTGGACAACAGGGCGAGACCCTGTGTTAAAAAAAATAAAATATATGGCCAGGCGCGGTGGCTCAAGCCTGTAATCCCAGCAGTTTGGGAGGCCGGGACGGGTGGATCAAGAGGTCAGGAGATCGAGACCATCCTGGCTAACATGGTGAAACCCCGTCTCTACTGAAAAAAAAAAAAAAAAAAATTAGCCAGACGAGGTGGCGGGCGCCTGTAGTCCCAGCTACTCAGGAGGCTGAGGCAGGAGAATGGCGTAAACCCAGGAGGCAGAGCTTGCAGTGAGCTGAGATCGCGCCACTGCACTCCAGCCTGGGCGACAGAGTGAGACTCCGTCTCAAAAAAATAAAAAATAAAAAAATAAAAATAAAATAAAATAAAAAAATATTTTAAAAAAGAACTTAGAGACAGATGGATTTAGGCTGTGAAAGAGAGGGCGAAGTCAAAGATTTCCATGGGCGCATCTCTGATGGAAACAGAGCTGTGACGGGAGGAAGGTTTCTGGGAAAGGCTCTGTGTCAGACTTGACGTTCCTTATGTGAGGTGGAGCAGGTGGGACTCCCACGTGCAGATGGCCTGAAGCAAGGGCAGATAGACTCTGGCCTGGAGACCAAATCCAGCTGTGCTCACTCCTTTGCCTGTTGTCTTGGCCACTTTTACACTAGGGGCAGAATTGAGCAGCATCACTGTGTAGTGTATGACCCACAAAGCAGAAAATATGGATTGTCTGGTCCTTTCCAGAACATACCTGCTGGCCCGGCTTTAAAGGCAGCTGCCATCTCCTCCCCTCATGTGTTCACCACCTACACATTTGCTCTGGGCCATGCAGACCAGTGTGTATGGCATTCTCAGTGGTTGATGAGGCGTGGCCATCCCTCCCAGTGACCAGAGATAAAATCCTAAGTGCAGCATGCCCTTCCTTCCTCTGGCTGTTCCAGTGCGTGCTGTTCACCGGCTCCTAGAGCACCGCCACCACAGCGTCGCCTGGCCTGCCACCGAGCTCCCCATCACACAGCTAACCAGCTCCATCGTGCGGCGCGTGAATGAGGCTTCTGGGCTCTACCAGATGTTCGGTGTGCTGGCCGATGTCATCCTGTTGAAGGAGTGAGTAGCCCATCCCCACCCTACTCCCCGCGGCCCAGCTTCCCCCACACACTGCATAGCGCTTCTCTTCCTATTCCAGGTGCGGGGTTCTTTCCTAAGTTCTTTCCTAAGATGAAGGCTGCTGGGGGGAACATGTCTGTTCTGGGGAAAAACAGTGCTATCAACTCTACAGACAGTCCTATGAGTGGCCATGGGCACATTAGTGAGCCTCTCTGAGCCCTTCTTCCTCATCTGCAAAATGGGGAAATTGTGCCTACCTTGCAGCAAGAAAGGAAGGAGTAAAGGTCACTTGTGGAAAGTGTTTGGCATCACGTGGATGAGCAGTAGTCAGAGGCAGCCTCGTGGATCTCAGAGCTCCCTCAGGCCAGGGCCTTGCCGGCCACCATCATCAGAGTCAATTTAGTGATAAGCAGCAGATCACAGAGGATGGACAGTCCCTGAGAAGGAAACAGTGCAGGGCACAGAGGGGTGAGGGGCAAGGGGAGACAGGTGGCAGGGAGAAGCAGGGGAACAACCTTCAGTGAGAGGGAACAGCCCGATCCAAAGGCAGGACACGCTATAGCATACCAGGTTCAGGGACATGCAGGTAGCACAGCTGTACTCTGTACAAAACCTTCGCGTCACCCTCCATGCCCCTGCCCCTGTCTTTTTTTTCTTGAGACAGAGTCTTGCTCTGTCACCCAGGCTGGAGTGCAGTGGCGTGATCTCGGCTCACTGCAATCTCCACCTCCTGAGTTCAAGCAATTCTGCCTCAGCCTCCCAAGTAGCTGGGATTACAGGCACCCGCCACCATGCCTGGCTAATTTTTTTTTTTTTTTTTTTTTGACTCAGAGTCTCTCTGGGTCTTTCCCAGGCTGGAGTGCAGTGGTGTGATCTTGGCTCACTGCAGCCTCCACCTCCCAGGTTCAAGCGATTCTCATGTCTCAGCCTCCTGAGTAGCTGGGATTACAGGCGCATGCCACCACACCCGGCTAATTTTGTATTTTTAGTAGAGACTGGGTTTCACCATGTTGGCTAGGCTGGTCTCAAACTCCTAACCTCGGATGATCTACCCACCTTGGCCTCCGAAAGTGCTGGGATTACAGGCGTGAGTCAGCGTGCCTGGCACCCCTGTCTCGAATGACACCCGACATGCAAACAATGGGCAAGTCTTGTTACCTCTCCCTTCAGATGATGTCTGGAACCCAGCCAGCTCTCACCTGCTCTACCACCACCATCTCGGTCCCGATCACCAGGCTCTACCACCTGCACCCATATGACAGCCGCCCCACTTGGCCTGGGGTCTGTTCCCAGCACAGTAACCAGAGTGGTCCTTAGAAACCTGAGGCACGCTGATCCCAGCTCTGCTTAGTCCTCCCCAGCGACCAGCAGCATCACTTCTCAGGCCAGACGACCCCTCATGTCTCGTCATGGGAGGCACAGCCCTCCTTGACCTGACCTCTCAGGCCTCTGATCTCCTCTCCTGCCCCTGCCCCTTGTTCACTCCCCTCAGCCACGTCGGGCTCTTCTGTTCCTTGAACACAAAGTGCTCACCTACTCCTCAGGGCTTTTTCCTGACTGTTCTCTCTGCCTGAGACACTCTTTCCCCAGATATCCCATTCAGGTTACATGGAATTCTCTGGACTTTACCCCACATGTGCGTGAGAGCTCAGCTGAAACGGTAATGTTAAGTGAGGGGCGCACTGCTTGATTGACGCTCCGTAGAGGGGAGATACACACGCACACACGCATGCTTACCCCGTGCCGCACCCCTCACCTCTGCCACAGCACTGAGGGCCTCCCCCGTGTTGCCGTTCTCCCAGGAATGCCATGGCCTTTGAGTACCTGGAGGAGTTCCCCGTACAGATGCTGGCCCAACTGGAGACACTCACAGGGAGGAAGGCAAGGCACGGGCTCTTCGTCATCAACATGGAATATGGCAGAAATTTCTCTGGCCCCGACAAGGACGTCTTCTTTGATGACCGGTCTGTGGGGCACACGGAAGACGCCTGGCAGTCTAACTTCCTCCATCCTGTCATCTACTACTACAGATACCTCCCCACCGGTGAGCAGGTCTCTGCCCTCCCCCAACCTGTGGGCTCCTCAGACCTCACCCTCTGCAGGGTTGTCACCCACCCTGAAAACTTCACACACACGCTCAGCTGACCGGGGGACGGCTGCGGGACTCCGCCTAGAGACCACTTGGGCAGAAGGTCCGAGAACGATAAACGGTGCTTCCAGATTCTGACACATACTGTGACCGGCACAGGACATGCGGGGAGTGTCGTGCTCTCCACCAGCCACTGTGTAGTAAGAGGGACACGGCCCTGCTGCAGGTCTCCAGAGGAGGCTGACCATGGTGGGGTGGGAGGGGTCTGAAGAGTGAGGGAACCAGAGCTGGTTAACATGGTACAGAGAAACTGGGCAAAATCCCTGGGCCTGTCCTTTTGTTACCGTGTGACCTTGGACCATTACTTAACCTCTCTGAGCCTCAACCTCCCCTCTGTAAAATGGGGATTACAACAGTACCTTTCTTGTAGGGTTGCATGAGGTTAACTCTGACAGCATACACAGAATGCCAGCCCGGTGCAGGCACAGAGTAGCTACTGATAAATGAACAACCTCGGGAACACACCCCCTGCTTCAGAGCTTGAAGGGCAGTCAGGTGGAAGAGGGTGGTTTAAACAAGGGTTGTTCCCAAAGGCAGAAGTCGTATCAGCAGGTAGCAGCGACAGGGGTGCAGGTCTGTGGTCAGTATAAGGAGGCACTAAGAGGCTGGGCACAGTGGCTCACACCTGTAATCTCAGCACTTGGAGAGGCCAAAGCAAGCGGATTACAAGGTCAGGAGTTCAAGACCAGCCTGGCCAAAATGGTGAAACCCCATCTCTAAAAAACATGAAAAAAATACAAAAATTATCTGGGTATGGTGGCACATGCCTGTAATCCCAGCTATTCAGGAGGCTGAGGCAGGAGAATTGCTTGAACCAGGATCCAGGAGGCGGAGGTTGCAGTGAGCCGAGATTACGCCACTGCCCTCCAGCCTGGGCTACAGAGCAAGACTCTTTCTCAAAAAAAGAAAAAAAAAATGCTGGTCGCAGTCGCTCACGCCTGTAATCCCAGCACTTTGGGAAGTTGAGGTGGGCGGATCATGAAGTCAGGAGGTGGAGACCATCCTGGCCAACATGGTGAAACCCCGTCTCTAATAAAAATACAAAAATTAGTCGGGCGTGATGGCGGGTGTCTGTAGTCCCAGCTACTAGGGAGGCTGAGGTAGGAGAATCACTTGAATCCAGGAGGCAGAGAGGCTGCAGTGAGCCAAGATTGTGCCACTGCACCCCAGCCTGGGCAACAGAGAGAGACTCTGTCTCAAAAAAAATAGTTAAAACTGTTCAGTGGGGGAATTGGTCACCTCCAAATTCAGGTTTCCCAGAATAGCGATGGCCAAGTCATGACTCGATGACCATCTGACTGGGACACCACAGAAGGGAGTCCACACCAGCGGGAAGCTGAACTAGATGAGTGCTGAGACCCCTCGCCTCTGAGTCTTCTCACAGAAAGGCCAGTTTGAAAGCAGCCACAGCCAGGCGCAGTGGCTCACGCCTGTAATCCCCGCACTCTGGGAGGCTGAGGCAGCAGGGTCACCTGAGGTCAGGAGTTTGAGACCAGCCTGGCCAACATGGTAGAGACTAGAACCCCATCTCTACTAAAAATGTAAAATATTAGCTGGGTGTGGTGGCGGGTGCCTGTACACCCAGCTTCTCTGGAGCTTGAGGAACAAGAATCACTTGAACCCAGGAGGTGGAGGTTGCAGTGAGCCTAAATTGTGCCACTGCACTACAGCCTGGGCAACAGAGTGAGACTCTGTCTCAAATAATAAGAAAAAAATAAAAATAAAGCTGCACAGTAGATCTCAGTCTATGTGAGTGTTAGAGAAACGCCAGCCTGAAGTTACTAGTTACAGCACTGCCTTCCAAAACCACAAGGGAAAAGCCTAGTTCCTCTTCCTCATGGCAGCCTTTCAAATATCTGCAGGTGGCTCTTGAACAGGCTGACCACAGCCCAGCCTGGGAGGCTGTCGGGAAAGCCGAGCACCAGCGAGTGAGGGCAGTGTTTGGGCTGTGTGGGATCCGTGCTGTGTCCTCCCGAGGAGGGGAAGCCCAGCCTCGAGGCTCTGACATGGCCCCTCTCTCCTCCCCACAGAACAGGAGGTGAGGTTCCGCCCTGCACACTGGCCCCTGCCTCGGCCCACGGCCATCCACCACATCGTGGAAGACTTCTTAACAGACTGGACCGCCCCGATCGGGCACATCCTACCTCTGAGGCGCTTCCTGGAGAACTGTTTGGACACCGATTTGCGAAGCTTCTATGCAGGTAATTTAAGCTCCCACAAGGACAAAGGGTCTAAGCTCGAGGTTGAAGAAAGGTCGCTGAGACCCAAGCCCCGTGGAGTTTCAGGACCCATATCTGGAAGTCCAAACCCCAGACTACCATTCCTGACAATGCCGTGGGCTAAATACAATACACCTAAAAATACTGGATAATATATCTTCTTTTTTTGTTGTTGTTGAACCGAGTCTCACTCCGTTGCCCAGGCTGGAGTGTAGTGGCGCAATCTCAGCTCACTGCAACCTCCGCCTCCCGGGTTCAAGCAATTCTCCTGCCTCAGCCTCCTGAGAAGCTGGGACTACAGGCTCATGCCACCATGCCCAACTAAGTTTTGTATTTTTTAGTAGAGACAGGGTTTCACCATATTGACCAGGCTGATCTCGAACTCCTGACCTCGTGATCCGCCTGCCTGAGCCTCCCAAAGTGTTAGGATTACAAGCGTGAGCCACCACGCCCAGCCGATAATATGTCTTTTCAAAAGAATTAGCAGGGCAGGCCGGGCACAGTGGCTCATGCCTGTAATCCCAGCACTTTGGGAGGCCGAGGCAGGCGGATCACCTGAGGTCAGGAGTTCGAGGCTAGCCTGATCAACATGAAGAAACCCTGTCTCTACTAAAAATACAAAATTAGCCTGGTGCAGTGGCACATGCCTGTAATCCCAGCTACTCGGGTGGCTGAGGCAGGAGAATTGCTTGAACCCAGGAGGCGGAGGTTGCAGCTGAGATCATGCCATTGCACTCCAGCCTGGGCAACAAGAGCGAAACTCCATCACAAAAAAAAAAAAGAATTAGCAGGGCAAGGCACCATGGCTCACACCTGTAATCCTAGCACTTTGGGAGGCCGAGGCAGGTGGATCACAAGGTCAGGAGTTCGAGACCAGCCTGACCAACATGGTGAAACCCCGTCTCTACTAAAAATACAAAAATTAGCCAGGCATGGTAGCACGCCTGTAGTCCCGGCTACTCGGGAGGCTGAGGCAGGAGAATCGCCTGAACCTGGGAGGCAGAGGTTGCAGTGAGCCAAGATCCACCACTGCGTTCCAGCCTGGATGACAAAGGCGAAACTTCATCTCAATAAAATAAAAAGGGGGCTGGGCGCAGTGGCGCACACCGGTAATCCCAGCACTTTGGGAGGCCGAGGCGGGCAGATCACGAGGTCAGGAGATTGAGACCATCCTAGCTGACACGGTGAAAACCCGTCTCTACTAAAAATGCAAAAAAACTGGCCGGGCGTTGTGGCTGGCGCCTGTAGTCCCAGCTGCTCGGGAGGCTGAGGCAGAAGAATGGCGTGAACCCAGGAGGCAGAGCTTACAGTGAGCCAAGATCACTCCACTGCACTCCAGCCTAGGCAATAGAGCGAGACCCTGTCTCAAGAAAAAGAAAAAGGTTAGCAGGGGCTAGTAGTGATTTCTGTTTAAAAAAAAAAAAATAGAGATATCTATGCATACATAAAGAACTGGCAGGGAAATAAGGCCACTCCCCAGAGGCCGGACCTGTAAAAAGCACTAAACCTGCTGAGCTGGACCCCTGCCAATCATCAAGAGCCCAGAGTCTGGGCTTTAATGGACCACCCCTTGGGGTGGACGACAGAGCTGGAGCAGGATGGGAGGCCTGTTTAGAGATACGCAAATAAAGCTTGGATCTCAGTAGGGAAGCTGGGAGCCAAAACCCTCCGAGGGAGGAGATAGATGAGATGCATGGTTTTGGCCCTAGATAGAGTAGGAGAGAAAATCTCTGAAAATATCCAACCAGTAGGCCCCACTTGTGTAAATTTGGGGCCAAACTTCATGAGATCATTGAGCCATAGAAATCACAGAAGCAAATGCACACCTTCTCAAAAAATACACTTTCAGGCCAGGTGCAGTGGCTCACGCCTGTAATCTCAACACTTTGGGAGACCAAGGGGGGTGAATCACCAGAGCTCAGGAGTTCGAGACCAGCGCTGGCCAACATGGTGAAACCCCATTTCTACTAAAAGTACAAAAATTAGCTGGGGGTGGTGGTGGGCGCCTGTAATCCCAGCTACTCGGGCAGCTGAGGCGGGAGAACCACTTGAACCCGGAAGGCGGATGTTGCAGTGAGCCGAGATCATGCCACTGCACTCCAGCCTGGGCAACAGAGCGAGACTCCCTCTCAAAAACAACAGCAAACAACAAAAATGCCAGGGTGTGTGAGGGAGTGAATTCCAACCCTGAGTTGTGGGTTCCACCGATGCATCATCCCAGGCCCTTTAGCCTCCTGTCTCCCACTTTCTAGACACTGTTTAACTGTACAGGCCACTGTGTGCTGCTGCCTTGGACTGGAGAGAATACCCGCAGCAGAAGGCCGGCTGGCATAGTGGCAGCCGTCCCTCCGTTCTGTAGCTGATGTGCAGCTGCTAGTGCTGGCCCCAGATTCTGCTGAGCCCCTGCAGAGGGGATGATGTCGTCAGAAGGTGGTGCCTGCCAAACGGCCACCTTGCTGCCCTCCCAGTCTTCCCGCTGTCCTCTCGCGCATCTGCTGTCTTCCCTGCTTGGAGAGGATTGCCATGGCCTGGCCAGCCAGGGGCCTCCATGCTAAGAGTCAGAAATAAACAGGAAGTCGTATTTCTGGAGCACCTTTCAGCCTGGTCACCCATGGAAGCCTCACGACATCCTTTGTACTGTGCCCATTTTTCACTTGAGATAGAGGGGCTCAGGGAGGCGGGAAGGCTCGCTCAGAGTTACAGAAGGACTCCAGCCCATTCCGGACTCTCCGTCTGCCCTTCTTGTCTCTGACGCCCTCAGAAGGCTGAGCCCATATCTGCGTCAGCTTTTCTGTTTGTTTAAAGTCTTATAAGTACTTGGCTAAAAGACTTTTTCTCACTGTATTAGTCTGTTCTCACGTTGCTATAAAAAATACCTGAGACTGTGTAACTTACAAAGAAACAGGTTTAATTGACTCACAGTTCTGCAGGCTGTATAGGACACATGGCAGCATCTATTTCTGGATGCTGGATCACGCCTGTAGTCCCAGCACTTTGGGAAGCCGAGACAGGCTGATCACTTGAGGTCAGGAGTTCGAGACGAGCCAGGCCAACATGGTGAAACCCAGTCTCTATTTAAAAAACAAAAAAATGAGCTGGGTGCGGTGGCGGGCGCCTGTAGTCCCAGCTACTGGGGAGCCTGAGGCAGGAGAGTCACTTGAACCCAGAAGGCAGAGGTTGCAGTGAGCCAGGATCGTGTCACTGAGGGAGACTCTGCCTTAAGAAAAAAAAAAAGAAACCGTTCCCATGATGCAGTCACCCCCCAACAGCCCCACCTCCAGCATTAGAGATTCCATTTCAACATGAGATTTGGGTGGGGACACAGACCCAAACTATATCACCCACCTTGCCTATTCTCTACCTTCATTCTCATTCCCACAAGGAACTCCCAGCCCTAGTGGTTGTTCCTTTTAGTAGCTTCTCTCTCCACACGGCTTCTTTTGGTGGTTTCTTCATATTTCTTTTTTCTTTTTTTTTTTTTTTTTTTGAGACAGAGTCTCTGTCACCCAGGCTAGAATGCAGTGGCATGATCTCGGCTCACTGCAACCTCTGCCTCCTGGATTCAAGTGATTCTCCTGCCTCAGCCTCCCGAGTAGCTGGGACTACAGGCGTTCATCACCACGCCTGGCTAATTTTTGTATTTTTACTAGAGACGCGGTTTCTTTCTCATTGTGTTGGCCAGGCTGGTCTCGAAGTCCTAACCTCAGGCGATCCACCCACCTCGGCCTCCCAAAGTTCTGGGATTAAGGCGTGAGCCACCACGCCTGGCCATTTCTTCATATTTCTACTTGATAAGTATCCACGGCTATCTTTTTTTTTTTTTTTTTTTTTGAGACGGAGTCTCGCTCTGTCACCCAGGCTGGAGTGCAGTGGCCCGATCTCTGCTCACTGCAAGCTCCGCCTCCCGGCTTCGCGCAATTCTCCTGCCTCAGCCTCCCGAGCAGCTGGGACTACAGGCGCCCGCCACCTCGCCCGGCTTATTTTTTTGTATTTTTAGTAGAGACGGGGTTTCACCGTGTTAGCCAGGATGGTCTCGATCTCCTGACCTCGTGATCCGCCCGTCTCGGCCTCCCAAACTGCTGGGATTACAGGCTTGAGCCACCGCGCCCGGCCCCACGGCTATCTTATGATTGGACAAATTTGATGCATGCACCAGCTTTCTGTTGTGGGACCAGTGAGGATATACCCGTATATCTTTCTGTCCCCCATACTGTTTAGATCAGAACTTTGCACGTGGTATTTGCAATTCAGATGTGGAGGGAATGCGTCTTTGCAGGCAGATCGGAGCTCACAGTGGGACTGACCACTGAGTTCCCAGCTGCACCAGGTCGAGGGTCTGTTCATGAGGGTCAGAGCCCTAACCCCTGTGTGGCCGCCTGCAGAGCCCCAGGCTCAGCCCTGATCTCTGGGAGCTGAGGCATTGCTGTGGTTTGCTTTCATTTTGGAGCCTTGTTCTTCCAGAGTGTCAAGGCAGCCCCCTGCCCTGGAGCCTCGTGGAGGGTCATGATTCATGACCTACTCAAGTTGGATGTGAGATGCCCAGAAAGGTCAGCTCCCAGTTTCAAGGGATGGAAGATACCAGGCGAGGCCCGCAGTGAAGCCCCCACACCTGGCATTGGCAGCTCCCCTTCCTGCACCCCTCCCCACACGTCCCAGCCTGGCTCATTCTCTTCGTTTCGCTTTTGTGTAGAGTCCTGCTTCCTGTTCGCCCTCACGCGCCAGAAGCTGCCACCCTTTTGCCAGCAGGGATACCTGAGGATGCAGGGACTCGTGAGTACCGAGAGCCTTCGGCAGCACAGAGTGGAGAACAGGCTCCTACGGGACGATGCCCCCATGGGCAGGGACCTGGAGGACAGCAGCCAGCAGCCTGGCAACCAAGAGCTACTAGGTGCCCCCCTGGCTCCAGGGCCTCTGGCCCAGTCCCTCGATAGCAACAAGGAGGAGCTCTGACTGTCCCTTCCTAGGCTGTGGACACAGTGGCCAGGCCTCCCCACCCAGGCCCATGGTCAGTTCCTCTTTCCCTGCAACCTCACGCTCCCACCGGTGTGTGATTGCCAAAGACCACTCAGATCATGGCAGTGACTGCACCAAAGCCACCAGACGGCACGTGAGAGCTGAAAGTCAGGGATACGGTGGTCTCCTCCCTCCTGTCCAGAGGCAGAAGAAGGGCATCCTCCGCCAGGTGTGAGCTGCCTTCCTCAGCCCAGCTTCTCTGCAGTGGAGCAATCGCTGCGCCCCAGGCCAGCCTGGTTCTGCCCCCTCTCAAGTGCCCCTCTTCCTTCCAGGCCCCTCCTCAGATGGGCTTGCGTCCCGCCTGTGGAGCGCTTCACAGGGGAAACCCATCTGCATCTTAAGGGTTTGTGGCAAGTGCTTTAAAACAAAAGCTCTCATATCCTCAACAACCAACGGGCAGTTGCGATTGTTGCCCCAGACGACTGCTGAAGACACCAGCTGAGAGATGTCAAGTAATTCCCAGGGACCCCCAGCTGCGAGTCCCCGTCTGTGTCACTTGCCACACACTGCCTCAACTCCGCCCCATTTTCAGCAGCGTTTGAACTTAGCTACGGAGCCCAAGAGGGTCAGCCCTGCTTATCATCGTAGGCCCAGCAGGCTGCTCTCCAGCAGCAATAGGACAGCTCCCTGAAAGCCATCTTATCTCAGCAACTTTCTCCTTGAGCAGCAAGATTCAGAGCTGCTCTCCCCAGTTGCACCCTCGACTCATCTTCCGGCTGGCTCTTCTCCCCCACCCTACTCCCTGCCCTCTGCCATCCTGAACCACGCCTTGCTTCTAACTTGCCTGGTCAAGTTTTGTAAAACATATCCTGCTGTCTCTGTGGTGGGCACCCATATGTGCTCACCATGTGTAAGGTGACATTTCCTAATGCCTTTACGTGATAATGATGATGAATTTGGTTCCTGGTCTCTGCTTCATTGTCCTTCCTCACCAGCAGTCTGCATTCTCCCGTCGGGCATCTTAGTCTCATTTATAAGGGCATACTATAATCACAGTGATTTTTCAAAGCCCAGGATCATAGGTGATTGCTTTTTCACTGGTTCTTACTAGCTCTTCATGTATCCACTCAGAATTCCAAGGACAATCCCAGCACTTTGGGAGGCCCAGGCAGGCAGATCACCTGAGGTCAGGAGTTTGAGACCAGGCTGACCAACATGGAGAAACCCCATCTCTACTAAAAATACAAAACTAGCCAGGCGTGGTGGCACATGTCTATAATCCCAGCTACTTGAGAGGCTGAGGCAGGAGAATCACTTAAACCTGGGAGGCAGAGGTTGCGGTGAGCCGAGACAGCGCTGTTGCACTCCAGCCTGGGTAACAACAGGGAAACTCCATCTCAAAAAAGAAATTAATTAAATTAAAATAAAGCATGCACTGGGTGCAATTGCTCACACCTGTAATCCCAGCACTTTGGGAGGCTGAAGCGGGCCAATCATCTGAGCTCAGGAATTCGAGAACAACCTTGCCAACATAGCAAAACCTGGTCTTTACTAAAGATAAAAAAAATTAGCTGGGCATGGTGGTGCATGCCTATAATCCCAGCTACTTGGGAAGCTGAGGCAGGAGAATCGCTTGAACCTGGGAGGCGGAGGTTGCAGTGAGCAGAGACCAAGCCACAGCACTCCAGCCTAGGTGACAAAGCAAGGCCTGCAGTGAAACGTCCATACCCCATCTCAAAAAAATAAGAATAAAGTATGCTACAACAAAAGTGAAAAAAATTCTAAGAACCCAGGCTTTCTGGATCCAAAGCTCTTTCATGGGGATGTCCTCTTCCCCTCTTGGCTAGGTCCAGACTTTTTCTTTTTTCTTTTTTCTTTTTTTTTTTTTTGCAATGGAGTTTCGCTCTTGTCACCCAGGCTGGAATGCAATGGCACTATCTCAGCTCACTGCAACTTCTGCCTCCCGAGTCCAAATGATTCTCCTGCCTCAATCTCCTGAGTAGTTGGGATTACAAGCGCCTGCCACCACACCCAGCTAATTTTTGTATTTTTAGTAGAGACAGAGTTTCACCACATTGGCCAGGCTGGTCTCAAACTCCTGACCTCAGGTGATCCACCTGTCTCAGCCTCCCAAAGTGTTGGGATTACAGGTGTGAGCCACCATGCCTGGCCCAGTCCAGACTTAAACACCTGGCCCCACTGTCTGCAGACACAGTTCACTCCAGTTCTTCTCAGAGTTACAAGAAGAGGACTCCAGTAGCCTTATTCTGTCAGGGACAAATTATTTACCCCATGATAATGTAGGATATAATAAATTCCTCTTCAAAGGTTTTAGCCTGTAAATTGTTAAATACAATGAGTTCTGAGATCCTCTCCAAAGAACCAATGAACCAATGTATCAGTGTGTTCAGCTCCCCTGTTATTTGTTCTTCATTTTAAAGTTTAATTTCCTCATTCTTTATGTCTCCTTGCCCCTAGTTTCAGTAAACAGCCCCCTCCTAGCCTCTGTCACCTGCTCTGACCTGAGTCACCTTTAGTCACCTGGTCCGGAACTGTCTTTCCTGTCAAAACTGCTCAGCCCGCCACTCCGGCTCATACCCCTGCTCTCTTTAAAATAGCCAGTAGGAATTAGCTTAGATTGTGTGGTCCAACCCTAGCCAATAGGGGAACAACACAGCAGTAGGGGCTACCTGCACCAGAGATAAGAACTCATTCCCCTCCCTCGTCCAGGTGTGCTCTCGCCATTGCACCATCCACGAGATGCACCCTTCTATAGAAGTAAAATTGCCTTGCTGAGAAAATTCGAATGCTGTTTCTTTTGTGGCAATGAAAATTTATTTCTAACAAATTTAGGGTCTTGTTTGGGATTCCCATTCTCCTCTGAGGAGGGTCTAGACCTCTCCCATGAGGAGGCATGCCCCGCTGCCTTGTTGCGGTGGTCCCAGGGGTAAGGAATCGAGACCCACCAATGTAATGAATAAACCTATACTCTCAGCAATGTGGAAAGACACCGGCTGGTGACCTGGGGGAAAGGATCCTCACATACCACAGTGACCAAATAACTCTCTGCACAGACCAAGGTAAGAAACATCGCAGGGGCGACAAAGTATTTCCTTGGTGGTCAGGATATTCTGGGGGTTGAAAGTGTGCGTGAATGCAAGGAGCCTCCAGCAGGTGGAGCTAAAGGATAGGCAAGACATCTCCAATAGAGATTGAGCCTAACCAGGACCCAAGATGGGAAATGCCCCAAGTAAGGTAAGAGAAAAAAAGGAGAAAGCTAGCAACAATAATATTCCCCCTAATAATCCCCTAGGCCTAATGTTAAAATATTAGAAGGATAATGAAAGGACCAAAAACAAACAAACAAAGCAGCTGCTGTCCCAGACCCTTCTCCTATCCCTGTTGTCCCCTTTCTTATAATCCTGCCTCTTGAGAATCGTCCCAAGAGCCCACTCACTATCAGCCTAAGCCTAAGCACCTTTCCCTAAAAGGACTTCAACGCAAGATCAAGCAAGGTTAAAAAAAATACTCAGAACCTCGCTTTCCCCCTCTTCTCGGGAAGAAAGAGGCATGATCCACAGGGCTGCTATGGGAGCCTAGGAACATGAACACCCTCCTAGCCAAAACGTTCCTACAATAGATCAAAAAATTCCCACCCAAGACCCCCAGTGGGACAATAACAACACAGCCCACCCAGAAAGTATGCAGGACTTTAGGGAATTGATGATAAAGGGGACTGAAGAACCAGTACCCTGAACTCAGAATCTTACCCGGACATTTGGTATACAAGGGAAAGATGAAGGGCCTATAGGATTTTTAGATAGATTAAAGGAACAAATGAGAAAATACACTAGTCTAGGTCTCGAGGATCCTCTTGGGCAGTGAATGTTAAAACTTCATTTTGTCACTAACAGTTGGCCAGATATTAACAAGAAATTACAAAAGATGGAGAACTAGAAAGATAAACCTATAGAAGAGCTTCTAAGAGAAGCCCAAAAAGTATATATAAGAAAAGATGAAGAAAAACAAAAGCAGAAGGCAAAAATCCTGCTGTCCACCATACAACAAAGTACCCAGGGGGCAGAACCTATAAAGAACCTAAACCCCCCACTCTCCAGGCAATATAAAGGGTATGAAAGAGTAAAGCCAGGAGACTCAAAGGTAGAGAAAAAAAACTTAGAGGAGAGAAAAAGACTGACAGAACAGAGGCAAAAAGAGAGAGGCAAAGGGGGAGTCAGAGAAAGAGAGGCAGAGAGAAAGGCAAAGAGGGAGTCAGCGTCAAAGAGAAAGAGAGAGGCAGAGGGAGAGAAAAAGAACAAAAACAAATATTTCAAATTAAAAGTAAGTCACTTCGAAAGAAAATGTCCCAAATGGGAAAAAGAACAAAAGTCATATATAAAAGCAAATCAGCTAATATTAAATTTCTGTTTATCCCAGAGGCAGGAACAAACCTATTAGAGATTTAATGCTAAAATTTGGCATAGGCCTCTATATTAATCAGGGAAAATTCCTCCCCTCCTTAAACTTGCTCACCACCGCACACAAAGAACTCATTCATCCCAAGGTATAGCCAAAAGAGGAGAATCGAGGAAAGTTACATATATCTCGGTTTCATGTTAAATTAAAAACCCCTGGAGAAGTAGTAAAGAGAAGGCAATGTATTCTATTCCTTTCAAGGCCAGGGTAAATTTAAAACCTATAATTGATAATTGAAGGTCTTCTCCATGATGAACTTGTTAAACCCTGTATGAGACATACACTCCAATACTGCCTGTAAAGAAGCCAGACAGGTCATACCAGTTAGTACAAGACCTTAGAGCTATTAATCAGATATCCAAACAGGCTACCATTTCTTAGCTGTACCACTAGCCCGCTTTGCAGCTAGGGAAGACCTAGGACACATGGAGTTAAATGCTGGAATAAGCCAGACCTTATCTGCACTTCTGTCTAGGTCCTAGGCTCTACACCTGGCACATAATTAAAATCCCAAACTTATAAGGTTTTCAACAAAAGCAAAGTTTGCTAAAAGTTAACAGTGTAACATGTATTCTCCTAACTTCTAATCTTGTGGCCTTAGGCAGTCTAGTCCCCAGACGTGAAGGAAGTTCGCTTTGGAAAATAACAGTTATCATTTTTGACATTAAAAAAAAGGAGAATTATGTGAAAAGAATCTCATGGTAAATTCTTATCCTAAAGTGAAAAGAATCTCATATGGTAAATTTTTGTCCTAAAGTAAAAAGAGTTTCATATAGTAAATTCTTGTCCTAAAGTAAATGAACTGGTTGTTTAAAGAAAAGGATGTTTACAAGTCAGAAAGTTAAGGCATGTCAAAGATTGTCTGTAAAAGTCATGAAAAATGTTATAAAAGGAAATTTATGCAAAAAATGTTGTATAATTTAAAAGTAATTAGGCCTCCTGAATGTAAAACTACTGAAGAAACAGTTTATGTGCAAAGTGTGTAAGAAGAGCAAAATATACTTTTGGTAAAAGAATTATAAGGAAGCATAAGAACGTGGATTTTTACCTACATTAAAAGGTTAAAAAAAATGTTTTAAAGGTTTAAGCAAGTTTTGAAATGTTAATTGTAAAAGAAATTCCATGTGTAGACATATTGGCTAAAGTTAAAGGGGTACTCTCCAGTTCCACTTTACTGGGGTACTGGTACCCCAGTTTTTCTGGTACCATCCCGTTTTTCTGTAAACTAGATATTAAAATAAAAGCAAAACAGGTTTTTCTTAAAGCACTAACCTGCTCTTTAACAAAAATGATAAAAGGTTAAAAAGAGTCTATAAAAATCTTAGCTTGGCCGAGTATGGTGGCTCACACCTGTAATCCCAGCACTTTGGGAGGCCGAGGCGGGCAGTGGATCACCTGAAGTCGGGAGTTCGAGACCAGCCTGACCAACATGGAGACACCCTGTCTCTACTAAAAATACAAAAATTAGCCGGGTGTGGTGGCGCATGCCTGTCATCTCAGCTACTCAGGAGGCTGAGGCACGAGAATCACTTGAACCTCGGAGGCAGAGGTTGCAATGAGCCGAGATCATGCCATTGCACTCCAGCCTGGGCAACAAGAGTGAAACTTCATCTCAAAAAAAAAAAAAAAAAAAAAAAAAAAAAAAAAAAAAAACTTACCTTGTAGTCAGACATTAAAATTGGATAACTGAGGCCGGGCACGGTGGCTCAAGCCTATAATTCCAGCACTTTGAGAGGCTGAGGCGGACAGATCACGAGGTCAGGAGTTTGAGACCAGCCTGGCCAACATAGTGAAACCCCATCTCTACTAACAATACAAAAAAATTAGCCAGGTGTGGTGGTACACACCTGTAGTCCCAGCTACTCAGGAGGCTGAGGCAGGAGAGTCACCTGAACCCGGGAGGCAGAGGCTGCAGTAAGCCGAGATCTCACCACTGCACTCCAGCCTGGGTGACAGAGTGAGACTCCATCTCAAAAAACAATAATAAAAATAAAAATAAAATAAAATTGGATAACTGTGTCTACAAGGTTTTATTAAAATTGAGTTTAACATTAATCGCACACTAATATAAAGGTGAAATGTAGCTTATCTGGTATAAAATCATACAGTAAGCATTCTCAAATACAAAATGGTGTTTGACTTTCTTTGGCCTAAAAACTAATAAAAATAGATGCTAAAGAGAATTCAGAAGGAAAATGGATATTGCCAGACCAGAGAGAAACATTATCCAAACCCCCTTATGAGGGAAATCTTGTTCCAGCTGCATCAAGAGACCCATTGGGGGCCCCAAGCTGTGTGTGATGTAGTCGTCAGAGTTTATGGGTGCATAGGAATTTATACCCTGGCCAAACAATCGCTTAGTACGTAAGAAAACCAATAAACAGACTATAAGAAGATTACCCCTTGGGGAAAGGAGTCCAGGCTTAAGGCCATTCCACAGTACCCAGATTGATTACACAGAGATGCCTCCAACTGGTCCTCTAAAGTATGTATTAGTAATAGTAGATCACCTTACTCATTGGGTAGAAGCTATTTCCTTTTCAAGTACAACTGCTAATAATGTAGTCAAGGCATTAGTTGAAAATATTATACCCAAGTTTAGTTTAATAGAAGACATTGATTCAGATAATAGGACTCATTTCACTGAATATGTCATTAAGAAATTAGCCCAGGTACTGGATATAACATGGGAATATCATACTCCCTGGCACCCACCTTCATCAGGAAGAATGGAAAGAACAAACTATAAAAAAGCCACCTAACCAAATTAGTCTTAGAGACTCGGTTGCCTTGGGCTAGATGTCTTCCCATTGCCCTGTTGAGAATCCAAACTGCTCCTCAGAGAGATGCTGGCTTAGCCCCTTATGAAATGTTGCATGGGTTGCCCTGTTTGCACTCCACTGCTAACATTCCCACATTCAAAACAAAAGATCAGTTTCTCAGAAATTATATATTTGGTGTATCTTCCACTTTCTCTTCCCTCAGAACTAAAGGTATTTTAGCACAGGTGCCACTCCTAGAGTTTCCAGGACACCAACATCAGCCTTAGGACCACGTCCTTGTCAAAAGATGGAGGGAAGGAAAACTCAAACCGGCTTGGGGAGGATCCTACCTAGTGCTTCTAACTACTGAGACTGCAGTTCGAACAGCAGAAAGAGGATGGACTCATCACACCTGGGTCAAAAGAGCACCACCCCTCCAGAATCATGGACAGCTATTCCAGGGCCAACTCCAACCAAGCTAAAGCTAAAACGGGTTTGATCCTCTTATATTGCGTCTCTTTCTTTTCCCCTTCTACTGCTAGTCCTCTCGTTATTAATGTAAC